TTCAAAAGCTTTAAAAAAAAAAAAAAAAAGGAATATTGTGAACTATTTTCATTTATTTAAAAATGTCATTTATTCCTGTGATGACAAAGCTGAATTTTCAGCAGCCATTACTCCGGTCTTCAGTGTCACATGATCATAAATGACAGAAAACTAGATGAAACAATGCCACCATAAGGCATTCGGTCAGTTATGATTTGGAGAACCCACAATGTTCAAGTCCAATTGGCCCACAATGCATAGCAACTCTCCTCCTCTCTGTCCTTTCTTTCTCCTACAGAGACTCAACCACACAAATGTACGCACAGGGACAATGAGAGTCCTCATCACACAAAAGCCTGTGGCACTGAGGGGTACAATGGGGCTTTTGTAGAATGTGTAGAGAGGAAGATGTGCAGGCAAAACACTACGGCCTGTATCGAATCAATTACCCCATACCATCCAACCACAGCTCATACACTGACCTCACACCCACAAACAACTCCAAACAGAGCTGAGGGTGTTCGGGGCGTAGCGTTGGCTACCCAAAAAACTGTCAGGTCTAAACAGAGTCTGCAGAATTGTTCTGTATTTTCTGCGCTGATTTTGAGGGGAAATTTTGCAGAATTTAAAGGAATAGTTTACCCAAAAATTTAAATTCCAAAGTTGTTCTAAACCTGTATGAATTTCTTTCTTCAGCTAAATACAAAAGAAGATATTTTGGAGAATGTTAGTAACCAAACAGTTTCTGGTCCCTATTAAATTCCATAGTAATTTGGAATCAATGGGGATCGGCAACTGTTTGGTTATCCACCATTCTTCAAAATACCATTTTATGTTTAGCAGAAGAAAAAAAATCTTGCATTTAAAACAACTTGAAGGTGAGTAAATGATGACAGAATTTTCTTAGGTAAAATGTGTGTACTACACTTTTCTGAGTAGCTAAAAGTATTATGGATTATGGATTATCTGCAGGACTTTCTGCAGGCACAGATTTGACATGGACCTAGTCGTGCCATATCTTTAAAGGAATGTTGCTGGTTAAATTCAAGTTCAGCAGCAGAGTTTGCAAAAACATACTGAAAATGCGCTGACAGTTAAGGATTAAAATGGAAATTTATGGACCAACGCTTCATCCATTGATGTCTATTGTAAGTCAATTTTATCAACACTTGGTTTCTTTTGTTTATTTTACGAATTGAGGTACAAGTCTAAACAGTTTCTGAGGCATGCCACAAATGTAGTCAAAAGACATTCATTTGAATATGAACACACCTTTAGAGCAGTGCTTCTGGGTCCACTAGGGGACCACTAGCAAACTTCCAAGGGGCCACAAGGTGACAAAATTATTTAAAATAGGACAACCATTACAATATGCTAATACTAGTAAAAAAGAAGAACCACCAGAGTCCCCACTGTCTTGTAAAAAGTCTTGGGGCCTTTGAATATTCTTGAAGACAATGTGAGGCTTTGAAGTTAAAAAGTTTCTCATGAATTCCATGAAATCAAAAGAAATCCCATCATTTGTGATCACTGGATAATCATCTTTTTCAAGAGATTCCACAAAATAGAAATGGACACAATTTTTTGTTAATTTTTCCAAAGCACAATTTTAAAATCACTGACATTTCCAGGTTTTCCACACCTATTGAGATCCTGGGAATATTCCTTTAAGCAGGAATTTACCTCCAATTGGCAAATGCAGTCTCCAATCCCCACAACCATGCCTTGCCTTGTGGGTATTTAGATTGGTATGCAACCCACGTGTTTGTGGTTTATTGGGGCAACGAAAAGGATTTTTTCGAGGATCATTTCAAGTAACCGTAAGAGTGCAGCCAACATTCCATTATAATTAACAGTGAAGTGCTAAAAAAAAAAAACGATACAAAGCGAGAAAAATAAAGAGCGAGACAGAGATGATTTAATACCACACCACAGGATTTATCGAAGACGACAGCTACAAAAACACTGGCAGCCAGACCTAAAATCAGTGTTCAACCACCGCACCATATGCGAACCACTCAACCTGTTACAACACTACTATTAACAGCAGGTCCAGGATCAGATCTGTTCCTTATGTCTGGAGCAGGAAAACTTCAGAAACATCTTGTGTTACTGAACATCGAGCTCTCTCGTTCTCAAGCACAAGCAGAGGATCAGGACACACATCCTGCATGCTTCATGAGGAGAACAGGAAATGGCTGAAAATTTCATGCTTCCCATTTTGGCACTTGTGATTTCCATTAATATTTCAGTTGACGAGTGGGAGACCAGGCCAGCATTGGGGAAGAACTAACTATAAGGAGAGAAGCTACTAACTTAACTGCATTTTTCAGTAGCGTGACAGCATTGAGCACAGATGTTCCAGTAAAAGCTAGTTTATTCAACAAGTAGCGATACAGCATTACAAAACGCTACATCACTGTATTTGTCACATTTACTCACACAGCCTTATAACCGAGCAAACTGAAGCACTAAACAAACACATTCCTAAACTCTCAAACAGCTTTGGGAAGTCACTTCATTCATTTCAGTGAGTCAGTCAATTCAGAGTGCTCCATTTAAATGTACTGGTAAAAAGCGATTCATTTTTGATTACTCACTTGTTTTCATACAACTCATTGTGCACTATTTTATATAGACTTCTGTGTGGTGAAATAAATTGTTAGCTAAATACACAGTATAATACTAAATACATATATATTAAGAACCTAATTTATATTCAGATAAATTCTGCTCTTTTTAAGTAAATTATTTAAACTTATAATTATACTCAATTTGATTATTTTTTTCAGGATTAATTTGATTAATCGAATGTTAAAAAGAACAACAGCATTTATTTGAATTAGAAATGTTTTTTAACATTGTAAAATGTCTTGACTGTCACTTTTATTCAATTTAATGTGTGCTTGCTGAACAAAAGAATTAATTAAAAATAATCCTACTGACCCCAAACTTTTGAATGATAGTGTATAGTTATATTTAAAGGGACCCAATTATGCCCCTTTTTACAAGATGTAATATAAGTCTCAGGTGTCCCCAGAATGTGTCTGTGAAGTTTCAGCTCAAAATACCCCACAGATAATTTATTATATCATTTTGAAAATGCCTATTTTGAGTGGAAGCAGAAACACGCTGTTTTCGTGCATGTATCTTTAAATGCAAATGAGCTGCTGTTCCCCGCCCCCTTTTCCAGAATAGGGCTGTGCCTATACTGCTCATACCTCATATACTCTGCCAAAAAACATCTGTTTGGTTTTTATTATGATGTCTATCGCGCTGAAATAATGCATTTAAAACACATTTTACAGATTCTGCAAACAGCTTGTTCTGAGACACTTATGATTTATGGGGATTTAAAAAAAAATAAAAATAGGAGCGGGTGGATTTTTATCATTATAGGGTGGTTGTGTGTTAACATATTTATGGTCAAGTACCATGTAAAAGTTAATTTTGCATAATAGGTGCCCTGTAAATTAATAGCAACACTGCAGACGGTCCAAAAAAATGCATTTTGGATTTAGTTCTAGTGGTGAAGGAAATTAACTATTATGCCACTCTGCTGCAAAAAAAAACAAACAAAAAAAAACCTTGAACCACTTCATAACACTTTATAATACATTTTGTAGCATGTTTGTGTGTAATATTTCTCATGTCTGGGTTGATGAACTTCAGCTTTGGTCTATGTGTGGTGTGTTTGTTCAAGAATGATTTGGAAAGATATGAGCAAACCTTTCAGCAAAAAGCAGTTTTGGGACATGCACACACAAACAAACCTACGTTGAGGTTCACTGACTCCTAACTAGACAAAAACTCTTGTTGTGTTTGATATGACGGTGTTCTCAAGATGAACTCAAATGGCTGAAACCCAAAAAAAATGACATTAATTATCCTATTTATCGGAGCGGTACATCCATCCAATCAATACTCCTGATCACCCTCCCTGTTCTGT